TATGTCTTGGTCGGTGAGCATGTGGCAGACAGCTTATGCAAGAGTCCTGGGAGACGGGCTGTTCCGTGCTTGCAGCCGTTGCTCCCATGACCCAAAGAATCCTCCTGTGAAGCAATCACTCTTCACAGCTCCGAGCCGTTTTCGATCTCCGCCCTTCTCCGCCCTTCCCTCTGCCTGGGCCTTCCGAAAGGCGAGCGCGCGCTCCGCGAAGCGGAGGAGCTTCCTAGGACTTCTACCGAAGAAGAAAGGGTGGAGTACGGGATTCAGAGCCTGCACTCCGAGGAAAGCTCCGATTTTGTTGCTTTGTCGTTTTTGGGGAGGCTCTGGGTAATCGGTGTCAGCGACCCCGCAAACTACAAGTAGGAAAAACGGACGTGGCATGACCTCAACCAGCGACCTGCAGTCCTAAGAAGCAAAGGAGACTCAGGAGATCTCAGGAGACTCAAGACTCAAGACAAGAAGCTGTGGCGCCGTGTTCTTGATAAACCGGCTACCATGTCCTCAAAGCCACTGAGCGTTACGACCTAGAAAGAAACAGCCCCCTTGCATTCAGAATGGCCGACACTGCCGCCACTTCCCGTTTCAGCCTGTCGGTCCGGTCGCTCGCACCAGCAACCACCAAGGAGTTCTCTCACCATAGAACCTAAGCACTTGGGGCAAGCAAACGACCGCCGGTCAACGGAGTCAAGGACTTTTCTCCTCTTTGACCTCAGCCGGATCCTGAAATCCTGCCATCTTCAGCCTATCACCCGGATCCTACCATCTGAAAGCAGCAAGGCGACACCGTGAAGGCGTCTCCAGGGTTGGAGAGGCCCTGCAATGACGGGTCACTGACGGACAAATGTCAACCATACAAGGTGCATGACCCACTTACCTGCCCACCAACTTACCTACCCACCTAACCCGCCTTCCTCCCTACCTACCTACCTACCTCCTCGCTGCATCATGTCGCTACGGCAACGGCAACAGTAACACCGCCGCCACCACCACCAACAAGAACCAGGTCAGCAGCATCATGGACCTGGTGGCTTTGTACACCCTTGCATGTGCAAGCTTGCAGCTCCTGTCAGTGTTTTCGTGATCTGTGATAGAAAAATCGCTTTGCTGGACCATCTGCTGTCGTCATCATTTTCGTCATGCTCATGATCTAGGATGGTCGTCATCACCATGATTGCTGGCATCGTCATCGTCATCACCACCATCATCAGCAGCAGCATCAACATCACCACCATCGCGCATGGTCGTGTTCATGCTTTGGCCGTGGATGCTCTGGGGACCGGATGCTCTCGCGAATGGATGCTATCACGCACCATGAAGTGTTCAAAATGCCGTGCCTGTCGGACTGTTGAGCGAGAGAGTAGGCTATCGCTGCACACCCCCAGACCCTGCCCGAACTGACCTCGTCCAATGCCAGCCCAATTTCGCCCAGAGCATTGAATTCCTGGGCAGGTGCTCAACTGTCAACTTGCCAAGGTTTCACTGCACAATTTGAGCTGAAGAGTTCCTTGCCCGACTGTCCACACATGCAAACGCGCAAGCATCCTTCAAGTGTAGACAAAATTCGGGTGTCTTCAAGAGCTCGCCCATACCCTCCACGCCACCAATCTCTTCATCCGGCACGAAGCTCAAATGAATGGTCCGGAGAGGGACAAATCCTGCAATGCTCCAACTATTCATCACGTTGGGCATTGCCAAGAGTAGGCGACTGTATCAGTTGGACGGCACATCTCGACCCCAAAATGCCAGCAAAATCCTCGCCCCTCCAAACCCCCCCGCCCCCAAAACCCCCCGCCCCGCGCCTCTCTTTCGCAATCGTTCGATCGCGAAAAGGTACTGGACCTTTCGATGTCCGAGCTGAGGCCCAGGAGATCAGTTGGCTAAGACTAGCTTTCGATAGCTTTCGTAAGGTCCCGGCACAGACGGACTTCATGTCTTGCGTACCACGCCCATAGATGCGACCGTCAACAACCTATTGCATTTGGGCAGAGAGCCACACAAGCCCAAGCACTGCTTTATTTGTCCCCGCCAAGTATCCCGAGCATGGTTCTCATGTCCAAGGTGGACTCCGCCCTGCTTGCCATGCGTAAATGGAATCTCGTTCAAAGCAGGTCCCGGATGGGCAGGGCAAACTGATACTTCACTACCGGTAGCAAGTCCACCCTCAACGGCGTTCTCGGTGCCTCCGCGGCCCAAGGGTCCACGGACCAGCATTCGGTCATGGCAGGTACGACCTTCAACAGACAGGACGTTTGGATAGGGATTGACAAGAGTTCGCCCATCCTGGAATTAGACCAAATGCGCTGCATCCACCCAAGATGCATCTTCTTGCTCAGAAAATGACTCAGAAAGCCTTGACGGCCTGTAAAGGAATTCTTTCCTTTCGGGGGCCACGCGGCACTCCGACTATGATGGTCTGTCTTGCTGTCTACTTGGGGCAGCGGCATCATAGTGCGAGTTGAGCAGCAGGCAAGGTAAGCCTCGACAGAGCGAGACAGAGAAAGGCCCCGAGAATAAATCCTGATCATTCAAGAAGGACATCACGCTGCCAACAACTTCGACGACTTTCCCTGCAGGTCGAAAGGCAAGAATCACCTGGGACGATCTTTGGCATGCTCGGATCGTCCAATCAAGTAGCCTGGGCCGAAGAACCTGTTCTCACCTGGCCAAGCAACTGTCGTCGCTACCAGCCCAAGTGGCCAGTAGAATCGGCTTTCCCTTCACGGGCTCCACCTGCAAAGTGAGGATACGTACAATGATGGCGGTTCTGGAGCCTTGGGATGGTCAGCCAACCCGCTGTCGTGCGGCGAAGGATCTTGAGAAGAAGCCACTTTGGTGTCTTCTGGCTGTTCTACAGCCCTCAACAAAAAGCTGTGGTTGCCCCTGCCCATCCTGGCAAAAGCTTAAGTTTGCTCAGAACCCGAAAAAATACGTCAGGGTGCAACGACACTCTGTGATACAACGTGGCCTGCTTCGTCGTGAGGCCCAGGCGCCGACACTGGGCAGCAAGCCATGCGACGGCTTCCGCATAGGAGCCTGGCCCCCGGCTCATGTCAAACACAGAACACACTCTATGACTCGATGTCTGTGCGTGAATCTTGGGCACAATGGAGTGTAGTATAAAACAAAACACGAACATTTCTTCGATACTAGCATCAAGATGTCATAGCATGATCGAAAACATTTTTGTGTGATAGAATGTAGTCTCATATGATACTGAAATGATAGAACATATAAAACGTATAATGTAGTATAATATCATAACAATATGTGATGTGTTTTAACATAATTGATCATATAAGATGATGCGGTAACACCTATCAAAAGATGTTAAGAGCCCTTGCCCTTACAGTATGACAGAATTTGATGTAATGTGAACAAGATATAATAACAACACAGCACAGAACAGAACAAATTATAGCACAACATCATATAGCAGAGTATAGTATGATACACATAGTAGAACGTACCATGGCATAATACAAAGGTTAGGTCATGCAAAAGAATGCAACGTAGTGGAATGTAAATACAACAGACATGGAATAGAATAGAATAGAGTAAAACAGAAAAGACTAGAATAGAACAGCATAGAATAGAACACACTAAAACGAAGACTATCACTGTAGAAAAAAATACTAGAACATGCAAGGAACACAATAAATATAACATCACCCAATGTAGTATCATGTAATGTAATGTAAATCTTCTAGGTGGGTTGGTTGCGTTTGCTGCGAAGCAGACTTGTCAGATCCGCGCTGGCTGCATGTAGGCAAAGGTAGGAGTGTGGCTAAGACTTCGCTTGAGCTGTTTCACCGATGCAGGCTTGGCAAACTCGACGAATGTAAGGCCCGCTTCGAGATAATTGTTCAGAGACGAACGTAAGGGGGCCGCAGAAGGGAATTCGCAAAGATGAAGAGCTTCCCGGAAAACCCTCCCATATGCACCCTCAAAGCGGCTTCGGGCAGCCTTGCGGGCCCTCACCGCTGACGCTCCGAATGCGAAGAAAGTCCCGGAAGAGCTCCTGGGATCTCTCTAAAGGCCTGGACGGGACTCATCCTGCAGAACCTTCAGGACAACCTAAACTATGGGAAGTATGGTATATTAGTATATTATAAGTAATATTAAGTAATGCAGTAGCTACACACTCGAATTCTCAACAAAGCCACAGACTCCTCTGGTTTCTAAGCTACAGACTCCTAGCAACCCACAAGCCACGCAAGTCCCACTTCTCTGCCAGGAAACCGCCTCGGGCGGCAGTGTGTCCGGCATTGGAGCGGTTAATGCTACGGCCGTTGAGGCTTGTGAGTGTCGGCACAGGGGCAAAGTGACAGAAGCTGCTGGGGATTGAGAGCCTGGAAGGATGGCTCGAGAGATGCAGATGGAGGCGGGCAGACGTTGATTCTTGAGCCCAAGGCTTTCAACACCAAGTCATGACTATTTAGACCGAGCTTCGGATTTGGAGTGCTTAGTGCTGAGGTACATGACACTGATCAGCTCAGCAATATCCGAATATCTGAGTTCTTGCTGCGAATATACGGGAGGACAAGATCACTCGGGAAGCTCGAGATTTGAGCTCCACTTCTCTCGACACTCTCAAGCACCACTCGCTTTTGATGTCGCATGATGTTGACGGGGCTCCGGGAGAGTGCCTTTGCGCAAGTGCTAGAGGACGTGTAGCAGCTCTGTAGCATTCCTGTAATGGCTGTAACAGGCCTTCGCCCGGAAAGAACTCTTGCTAAACTCCCGGAACAGTGTCGCAGCTGCAAACGGTCGTTGTGATACAAGCTGCGACTCTGCATAAATTGAACCCTCATGCGCTAACGCATGCTGCATGGAGGGAGGTTACATGCATCTATCACACGGTATGGGTTCCAGGAATCACGAAGCGTGTGGCAGCGGCCTAGTGCTGTCGAAGTGCCCTGTGCTGCAAGTTAGGATTGAGGGGCTTGGGTTCGACTTCAGGATTAGACGTGAGACCAAACAGAGCTGCAGAGCTCCTCCGCTCAAAACTTCTCGTTGGGGTTTGGATTCGACCATACCTCGAAACAGCTCTCCTGCAGGGAGGTCAAGACGTTCATCTCAGTGAAGCTCGCTGCAGATTGCATGCATGGTCGAAGTCAAGAAGCCGGTCAATCCGGGCTATCTGCATGAAGCAGTCTTTCGGGCTGCACGTGGGGTTTCGGAAGCTGCAGCTCTTGTCGCACTCGCCATACTGAGGTCGCAGTCTGACACCGGCCTGATGATGGCACCAAGCATGCTGGGTCGATTTGCCTGAGATGCAGTGCTCCCTGGCCTAATTTTGAGGCCCCATGCACGCGTGAGCTGTCACAGGGACACCCAATGCATCCCAATATTACATCTCATCAGGTCGACAGTGCACTGCGAGCTGCTCCGAGCATTGAAACTCTTTCTGTCAAGCCATGGTGCCTGTCCAGATTGGGTACGGCATCGACATGTTGATCCTTGGCTATTGGGCATTCAGTGATCACTTCTTCCTGTGACAGAGAACCGCGGCATCTTGCCTGGCAATGCCACAACAGATAACTGCGACACGCCCCAAACCCCTGCAGGCCGAAGGGCCAGTGCTTGTCTTCCAAGGACTCCACGATGGACACACGCTGGTCCGCCGTAAGGCATGCCTAGGCTTAGGGAAGGATTCTCACTGTCAGAGTCATAGCTTCCATGTTGAAGCTCTGTTCAGGCGCCAAAGTGCTAGCCAGGTCGTGTACTGCTGCTTCTCATCGTGGATCTGAAGCGTCTTCATGACCTGCGCCAAGTGGGGAACGGCACATCGCGTTTCTTCATCTAGCTCCAGATACAGTAGCACGTCTGAGTCCACGGCGCTCTCCAGTGCTGCCTCCATCCTGAGTAGGGTCCCGTGCTCTGGGCACCCCGGAGCAAGCTGTTGATTAAGACACCCCAATTCCCTCACGGAAGCCTGCGGGTCTGGTCTGCCAAGCCATCCCTGACGTGTGCAACTCATCCAAGAGTCTTCATGTGACCATCGCGGCCCGCAGCACGGATGGGCTTGCAGCCGCCCAACCTGCAAGCACTGCGAGCGCAGGAAGCACGAAACACGGACCCTATACCGCGAAAGCGGATTTGTTTAAGGGCTCAAGGCAAGTCTTGAGTCGACGCTTGCTCGCGGCTGGTGTGTGCAAGCGTCCTACACCGAGCAGTCCAGACTCGACGAGGATAAACTCGCCAGGGCATAAGGGACTCAAAACGAGTAACAGGAGCTGCTGCTGGCCGCTGGCGCCAATGGTACTCCTCACGTTGTAGAGGAGCTTCATGAACGCCACCTCATTGCATTTGTTCGGGATCCAGGCAGCATTGCGATCCAAGTCGACATGGTGTGCATCAAGAACTGGCAAGGAGGAGGCTCAACAAAACGGGTGGGCTTCACTGCGAGCAGACCCAACCCGAACATCTTACCGGTACACGGCCAGACGCGGTTGAACGCTTTGCCTCGCCCATCGGAGGCCCGACAGAAAGCGACCCTGCGAGGACCTGGCAACTTCCACGGTGTTTGATCATTGAAGTCTGCTGGTGTGCTGGAAGAGGCTTGGAGGTGCAGACCACTGTTGAGAGATTCCGATGACACACTCTCTCTTGGGGGGCTCGAGTCAGCTTTTGCAAGGCAAAAAAATGGGGGAAGCGACCCTTGGCCTTCCACGAGGCTGAGATCGGTGACGTGAGCATTGCGCAATAAACCTGGAGGCCTCCTCCATGCAGAAGCTCTTAATTCTTTTAGCTGGAGCTCGAAGAGAACAAGCTTAGATTCTTCGCTGCACCTCTAGCATCGGCGGAGTTATTCCGCGCCTGGGCATCAATTCCAAGGACGGAGTTGCTGCTTGGGTCCGTGAGGACGACCTCGTCACGGGCGGATGACAAGAAGGTCAATGCCACAATGGACAGGGCTTGAGTTCGAGGTCCGCTCCTGCAGCATCGAAACTTCGAGAGATGGAGCAAACCTTACGGACCTTGTCCATGGCCTCTGTACAAGATCGAGCTATCCCCAGTCCGACAGAACACTTTGTCGCTGAGCTTCAGGATTGTCGTGCGTGGCTGGCGTACAGCTCAGCAAGCTGTCCGGAACGGTTTGCCTGGTGCACTCGAGAACCGAGCTGAGGCCCTGGGGCCAGCGCGAAGGAGTCCCGCGTCTGCTCCTCGCGAAGCTGCTGCCGCTGGCGTTCCTCGCGGGTCTCGCTGCACTTGGGAGAATCTTCACATGCGTGGCCGCGTGCGCCAGCAAACGGGATGACTTGCATTATGACGTTCTATCCTACTCCCACTACCATACTCCCACTCATACTGCCACTGCTAGAGCTACCGCCACTGGTACTGGCACTGCGTCTGCTGCTATGCTGCGCTGCAACTGCTACTGCTGCCGCTCCTGCGATGACTACTGCTAGTGCTTCTGACACTGGCACTGCGACTGTGACTGCTGCTGCGGCGACTGTGACTGCGACATGACCGCGACTGCCACTGTCGCTGGTGCTGCTGCTATCACATCCGATTACACTGTCATATGACCCCTCGTGCTTCTAAACCTTTATTCTTAGCACGAAATCACCAACACTCCTACCAGCACCTCACTACTTTTGCTGATACCACTACCACTACCAGTTCTGCTACAACTGTTGCAGCAGCAGCTGCTGCTGCTGCTGCAACGATGATGAGGATGACTACCTGCTATGTCTTCCTCTGGGGCGATCGCCACTATCCCGAGAATCCACCCTAGCACTGTGCCACCACGACACACACTACCTCTCAACACTACGTAGAATTTCGATCCGACTGCAACACTTCTCCACCACTCGCAGGGTCCTCCGGACTTGCGAAGAGGTCCTGTCGGAAAGCCTGGCTCTCGGGGGAAGGTGTCAAAACCCCCGCACTACTAAGTCCCTCATGTGTTGCGGTTGAATGGCATGCTGCATGCTGTTGGTCTCCTTCGCCTTGTGGCTGAAATGTTAAATGAAAAAATTACGATGGCATTCGGACATCAGTCTCGAGGCCTCCGCCAGCGTCTTCGTACTGGAGTAGAGGCCTTGGCTCAAGCGGCTCCTTTGGCCTTGGGCCCTGGTGGCTACACTACGAAGCTACTCTCTCCACTTTTTTTGTGCGTCATTCAATTTCTGCTGGAGTAGAAATGTGGACTGCAAGTCCACACTTCACCTCCTCGAGGTCATCGAAGTCCCAGTTGCTTGGGACAAACTCTGGGCAGCCGGAGACTGGTGCAAAAGGCATCTCGTGCACTCCTCGGCCCCGGCAGAGCGAAGACGGGAGACGTGAGACGAACAGTGACAAGAAGTATCTCTTACTGACAAAGCTTCATGCCTTGCTCAGAAGCATCTGTTGCCTTTTCATCTGCGTATGTTGCAAGCACAGACAGACCTCGTGATGGAAGGCTCGCGCTTCAGCCGAACTTCAGCCCAGCGGCCCATGTCCAGCATCTTGGACACGCTCGGTACCTCGGTGGCACCTGCCAGTGGGCAAGAAGCAGAAGCAGTGCGCTGCAAGTGTCGAAGAGCTGAGCAACAGCTAACCCCTGGTCTCCGCACCTTGCATCAAAACCTTTGCTTCGTGGCGTTCCAACGCCAGTCGCACCTGAATCGCCAAGGCAGGAGGCAGGGTCTAGTCTGCAGAATTATCACGCTTAAGCGGTTCTCTCTGTTCTTTGTCATGAACCCCCCCCCCCCCACACGGCGTCCGGGGCCTCTTCTTCCCTGGACCTCGGCGACAGGCGACGGGCGACAGACAAACACAAACAAGGCTTGAAAAAAAGCACAGAGAGATTTCACAAAAAAATGTGCCTGAAAAGGGGGCTCTCGTGCAAGGCAGCAAGGCTCCCGAGCTGAAAGAGGAGTCTTGTCTAGGACAAGACTCCAAGACCGAGCTAGATGCCTGAATAGGAGCTGTCACTGCGGGCTTTGTTAGTAGAGCTAGCTTGCTGCAAAGCTGCTGTGGAGTCGTCGTGCGCGGCTCAGGATCCTGCTGGGGATGGGCCCAGGTTACGGTCAGTGAAACGAGCAAGGAGTGCGTGAAGCCGGCACGACGTTCCCCCTCGCCCAATCACCAAACCCGAGCCGGACAGCCGCAAGTTCCAGCAAACTGCCGTGCTGAGTATCTCCTCCTCTCTCCTCTCCGGCACACTGTGCGCCTCGCGAAAGGAAGAGAGATGCTACTATAAGGGACCTCAAGGCAGAGGATCCCGGAGCTCAGAGACTTGGACTTCGCCTCTGCATCCTCCGTGGATCGCAGTTTCCTCCCAGTCGGCACCTGTTTGGGAGCAAGCTTGCATCGCCCCACTGCTGCCTGACTTCGACGGGTTTTTCTCTCTTTCTGCAAGCTTCCAGGCTGTTCACACACCAACAGGTCGTTCCTTTTCCTCCCCAACTCACAGATTTTACAACAAAGGCATCACGAGAATGAATGCACGAAGTGAATCCCACGAGCGCGGCCTGTGGAAGCATCTGCATCTGCGCCAGAACCCGTGAAGGCAGAGACATTGGCCGGTCTGACCAGCCTTAAAGCAGTTTTGAGGGGTTCTGACATTGAGATATGCTTGTGTTTAATGGTAGACGCTAGACCTTGAACACGCACCATTGAACTGCACTGCTGAGCCTCTCCATGAAATTGCTGCTGATGCTGGTTCAGAATCACTGCATGTTGGACCACTTCAGCAAAAGTCGGGGCTGGTTTGCTCGGAAAAAAACCTTCTCCCCACCAGCTCGCCCGACTCGCAAAAGCTTGAGGCCTGGTGCATTGGTACCTTCAGCTATTTCCGCTTCGGCAGCAAACCGTGAATCCCGTCCAGGCAGCGCGGTGCAGCGGACTCGTCTGCCGGCGCAATGTCCTGCTGCAAGGACCAATTCACAGACCCAGCGCATCAGAAAAAAGAAGACAAGGATAAAGGTCAGGTTCAGACGCCGGGAAACCAGGGCGAACATCTGAATCAAGCTTGAGTCCGCAGCGAATGGCCGCCTAGCAAGCTGACTTCGCCTGAATCATACGCTGGCACAAAGAAGTTAAGTTAGCAAGTGGTGGTAAGCCAGCATGCAGCGAACGTTGAGAAGACACGCCCCCATGCCGTTCCCCATGCATCCTCTGCCACGAAGAGCAGCTCGGCACCCTGCTTGCTGGGTACCTTACAGATCAACGCTGCAGCTGCTGATCGACTGATGGATGGCCTTGGGCCATGGTGGGCGTCTCCGGCTGCAAGACCGATGTAGTACCGGGATGCACCGACCCTAAATACTAAACCCGTAAACTGCATATAAACCCCCCTAAGCCCTAAAAAAACCCTAAGAGCTTCCTGCAGCCGCTGGGACAAAGCGAGGGCAGCTCTGGGACTGGAAGCGCTTGGCAGACTCGTGAGCAGAGCGCGAGGAGCCTCGCAAAACAGCCTCCCTTTGCCCTGGCTTTTTCCACAAGCTCCATCCCCTTATCCCACCATGAGTGCATGTGTTTCAGCTGGAAATCTGCACAGAAGACTCTCTGAAGCACGAAGCCACGGCCTGCCCGCAATTAAAAGCCCTGATGCCGCACCTGCAGGCGGCTGCGTCTCGGTGTCCAGCCTTTGTTAGGACTCAGACGATGCCTAAAGTAGCATATTGTCAGCATGTTCACCAGACACCACACAGACAAAAACGAATCAAGGAGAGCAGTGTAATGCTCACAGGCTGCCAGGGAATCGAGCCTGCTTCTTGCACCATGGCCTTTGCCAACATCACCTAACCCTGGACTGGCAATAGCTTTCGGCAGGTGGCACGCGCAGCTCGGAGGATGCGTAGGCGTCGCGCACGGAATGGCCAGTCAAGCCCTGGTGCCACTATCTTCGTGAGGCAAGTAACTGCAAAACCTATGGCTCAGTATGCTGCATTCGAATGGGCAGTTGCAGGACTGCAGGACTGCTTTCGAACTAGAGAAGACAGGCGCACGGCAGACCTGGCATACATCCGGAGCTCTCGTTCTGAAATTTCCACAAACTCTATGGGCGCTCGTGGTTTCAGAGCGGTAACAAGACAGCCCAGAAAAGGCACAATCAAGGCAAAGGATGCCCAAAACATGCGACACTTTCCTTGCTCAGAAGATAACACTCACTGCCTCTTGAGGATGGCAACATGGAGCTTGAAACTTTGAGACGCAGAGACTCGTAGCTCCGAGATTCCTTGGCCTCCTCCAAAACCTCCTCCAACCGATTGAGCGGGGAGCTACGGGCACGAGGCCGTGGTGATAGGAAACCGGGGGGTCGGCGTAACGGGAACTGCCAACGGAAACTGCCAAAAGGCGCGGGCAGGAGGCGTTTATGCTCGCACGGTCGAGGAACGAAAAGCGGTCCCCCCGCTGGCAGGCCTGAAGTAGATACACCGCAATGAAGATATCGATGCATTGGGACACGCACCCACACAAGCGTGTGCGGCTACATGGATACTGAGCAGGTACGCACAACCAATCTTATGCGCGTTTCTCACATGCAGGCAGAAGCTGCGAGATAAGCAGGCAGGCTGATAGTCATAAGAGCATGTGCATTTGCTGTGGTTTCATAGGTCCGAGGTCCAAAGTGATGCATGATGCAACTCGTTGCAGATACTTTCATTTGTCTTGATATGTGCGTATTTGTTTGTCAGGAAGGTGAAGCCCCTGAAATCCAAACCCTAAACCTCAGGGCTGCCAGCACCGGTAACAATAACGAACGAAAAGCAAGAAGTAGTGCCGCCGCTTGAAGGCAAATGTCATGCAGCGCTGGAAGCTTCCATGTCCACAGAAACTTCATCAAAAAAGTCTGATTCCGCAATTGACAAGGTCATGGCTAGCCATGGTTCGTGAAATGTCTAACTTTCGACAGGATTGAGAGGTCTGAATCCCTAGAATGCTAGAATCTCAAGGACTGAAACGCGGCTAGTTTAGTTTAGGAGCCGACACAACGGAAGAGCTGTGTTTTTTATTCTGTTTCAATCCCAAGGACGCAAAAACCCCTTCCGCACCACCCTTCCGCCACTGCTTCCGCAGCCTTCCGCGCTTCGAAGCGTTGGCACGTTTCTGAGTCGCTGCATGTCGTCCCTTCCGCGGACCGTTTTGCAAGCGAAACCTTCCGCAAGAGCATAAACCTCTCTTGACGTATTACGCTAACTCCTCTCGGCAATTGCGGGCCACATGCGTTCCAGGGAACAAGACTTCCACTGGAAGAAGACCTGAACCGCGGAAGAGTACAGGACAGTAGCTGGTCCAAATTAAAGTCTCGTTCGACTAACGTATTCTTCTGGCACGGCGACTTACGTAGTTGTTGCTTCCGCGCCCTTCCGCGGAGCAACGCCTTCCGCAGCCCTTCCGCGCGCACAGTCCCAAAGAGATTTTCAGATCGAGTGAAATTTTTGTGTCCAGCTGTAGTCTTCCGTCAAGAGACGGAAATAAAAAACGCTGCTCTGTTTAACAGTCAGGATCGGACAGGAGGGTCCGCAAGACGTGGTTTCTGCTGCCATGTGCTGCGCTGAACGTGTTACGGAAACCATGCGGTTTGTGGTACGGTCTCAGGCCTGGTTCCTGTCACCAGTTCCGGGGTTGTCCCGTTACCGAAACCCCCACCTTCCCCACCCCCTGCGGTCACTGCCAGGAAAGTCATTCCCTCCGTATGCATTCGGCCTCTTGCTCCGACGTAACTGCCTTCATAAATCCCACTTGAGTCATTCCCAGGTTCTCCTAAGTCCTAGACGCCGCATCTCGACTGCTCCTGTGGGTTGGGCTTTCTTTGCCGCGCTTCTGATCAAACTGCCTTGCACATTCGGCAGGGAACGAAGCAATGCAAGGCGTTTTCGAGATCAAGTAGATGCAGTAGATTCTGACCAGCAGGTTCAGCTTGCGTAGGAGAATGAGATGTGAGGTATCACTGCGAAACCAACAGGACGGCACGTCGAATCAGCACTAAGCCACTAGATTCATTAGATGCCCATGCCATGCTCTCACGAGACCATGAGCGCAGAAGCCTTCAGACTGAAGTCGAGCACGGCGACCTTTGAGAACTCGATAGTCTCCGTTGCTGAGCCTTGAGAGCTTTCAAGGGGATGTGGTGATTACTGAGATCCTTCGATGAAGGCCCCTTCCTCCGCAGCCAAGGCTCCGCTCATCACCGTCTCCACCTGCCTGCAAACGAAGCTGAAGGCCGCCCGGTAGACCCGGGAGATGCCCGGCGGCTGTTGAGGCAGCCCTTCCAAGGGCTTCCGTCGCTTGCACAATCCATCGCGTACCGGAGGGCTAAGAGATGCAAGGACGAAGCCACGTTTCAGCTCTCAAGTCCCATGGTCAGCTCAAGCCCGTGCCTTGAAAGGTCCCCCCGAAATCCACGGGCTCGATGCCAGGGATGATGACCTAACATGAGGGGCAAGGGGCTGACGGGCAGGCCCAAGCGTCAACAGTTGCTTTTGAAACTTTATCATTCCTCTTCCCGCCTGCAGGTGCTTGAAGCCCGCGATTCGGGCAGTCTTCTGCCTGGGTTCAGGCACACTGGACCCTTTGGCAAAGGCCCTGTAACACACACTGCATCCATGACGCACAGGCCGGTGGCCACGCTCCTGCAGTGCCAAGCAGAGGCACAGGACCCGGGCAGTGAGAATTCGTGATCTTCGAATCTACAGGCGCAGTCGTCCAACGGGATCGGCTACTCGGAGTGGATCCCCCATTTGGGCACGGAAAGAAAATCTCAATCGGATCTACAATTTGCTAACACAAATCAACATCGAACCAAACCCATGCTTGCCAGACTCCCACTGCATAACAAAACCAGCAACAGTGCTATTCAATAGTGATGGTGTGTTTACCTCCGGCCGCGAGTGGGGTAAATTGCGCAAAGCTACCATCGGAGTACTGAAGCTAATGCTTATCCTGGAAGGCTACTAGCGGCACTAGCAATTCTGCCATACCTTGGTAGCATCTTACCACGAAGCCGAAGGAGCTGGCAGAAAGCTCCTCGAGGATGTCAAGCACCGCTCTCGTGTGGAGCTGGCATGCAGCATCTAAGGCGTCCATCTGCACCTGCCAAAACAGGCGTTGACATCTGCCAAGCTGCGAAGTGGCTAAGCCTTCGAGAATTCGCTTACAGCGCGCCACGCAAAGAAGGCCCACGCAACATTGCTAACCAGGTGTGAAGCAAGAAACGCCGAGGGCTGGCGGCAGTGCAACACTCTCGCCAAGTGGATCCACCAGAACATGGCATCAAGTTCTTGCCGTATAGCCTATGCCCAAACCCAAGCAGTTTGCGCTTTCGATCCGGCGGGAAAGGCGGGTCTCGACTCCTCGTCCAAGCACCAGGCCCTCGTAGGATTGCTCTCCGATCATCGGCGCTGATCGTATGAGAAGAAGGGAAAGAGAAAGACAAGGATTGCAGAAAGGTATGCTGTGCATCCAGCAAGAAGCTTCAAGCATCCAAATGCAGCTCTAGGGAAGAGCCCACCTGCGTCAAAAGTGGGACTGCGCTTCGGGCGGCAGTCTCCTGCAGCTGCTTGCGAGCTGACAGTCGTGTTCGAGATTCTGCGCCGGAAGCAACACTACCCGAAAACTGCAGCGTTGGGATGTCTCGGCTGGTCAGCTACTATAGGCGACCAGGGAAACTCTGTACGAGATAGCATGGGTTTGGAGTGTTGTGAGAGGTCACTCCCGGTCAGAATTCGGGATCCTGGGCATCCACTGAATAGATGTTCCCAACGCCGTTCGACAAGGAACCTGGATGCAAAGGTTGCGAACTTTGCACTGTAAAACCTGAGCCCTAAAGTATCCTCTCACATCATCCACTCCACTCCTGATGTCCTGCTCTTGCCAGTGGTATGCTTGATACTCATCCTAACTACGGGCTGTGGCAAGGCCATACATAACACGCTCGCACTAGTGTGTTCTGGCACCGTCATCAAGGAACAATGCGAAACAAGATCGCTGGCATCTGCCAGCCCTTTTTCAACATTCAGCTATCGAGCCCTCCATGCTAGACACCGGGCCGGTCTTGCCAACAACGGCATCACAAAGCAGCAAAGCAGTCCATGAACGCAAATCTCCAGGTCGGCCCACCTACGAACAAGACGAATCGCCAATCTGGTGTTACCTGCTGCCAGAGGATCAGTGGCGTTTGCAAAGCACGTTAGATGCAACCCAGTCTTCACAGGCTCAGTAGCTTTCAGCAGGACACCAGCAACGAGAACAACAACAGCAGCAACGAGAGCATGAGCAAAACAAAGAGAACGACTAGTATCTCTTGTCATCGTCTTGCGAGTCTTAGATGCACTCAGACAATGCTCCTACGAAGCGACGCTGCTGCAGAAACAACCGGCCCTGCTGCGATCGAAGAAATAGTGGTCTTCTGCACTTCCCAACTATGGTCAAGCTCCTGGCACTTCTAGGGTTGAGTCAGCAGCACAATAAAGCCCCAGCAATGATCGCATCACTTCCGCCAATGTTCAGCCAAAGAACGATTGAGTTCTAATCAGCCACAGATCTTTTTTTGACGACTCTGCAGAGCAACAGCCCAAGTCAGACATCCACATCTCTGCCGGTCGCCTTGACACCAGTCAGCCTCCTCGCCTTGATGGCTGTTACATTTCGGACGAGCAGCAGCGAGCCTGCGGCGACACGATTCATCCTCATCCTCGCCTGTGACATCATCATATGATCGCCGTCATTCCTCGTTCTCATCACCTTCCTCGTGTTAAAATTCCTCCGTGTGAACACGCTCTACCTCTTCGTTATCAGAAGTTATCCAAGTCGCCATGATCAAGCTAATCACCACCATCAGCACCATAATCACCGTCACCATGGCCACCCTAAACGGTAATAGATCAGGACTTCTGTGGTTCATCAGTTTCACTCATGAACCCAAGTTGCCATTGTGACAATCGCCGAGATCATCACCAGTGATTCGGTTGTGATGATGCGGTAGGTGTCCGAGATCATCACCACCTCCATCATCAGCACCATCATCATCAACAACGGCAGCAGTACCTCCATGACCATCATCATCGTCAACAATGTCACTATGATCATGAGCATGATCATCCAAGTCGTGCCACTATAACGAGGTTCAGCGACAGATCTGCGCAATAGCTGCATTCGCTCTTGCTGTGGTTTCCTTATTGGCAATTCTTCCATGTTACTAAAGCTATTGCATCTCTTATTGCCGCATATCGTCCGCGTCTTTCCTCTGGTGTGACTGGAATTAACTCGGGATGTACCGTGCTTTGAACCTGTTATGTTTGTCAGGAGGCGCTTTATTGGCTACGGCTACAGTTCATCATTAGTCCTGGTGCTTGCTCTTCGCAACGCCCTCTGCCTATCGATGATTGCTGGCATCCCTTCTTGGGTTATGCACGGATCTTGAGCAGTTTGTATCTTAGTTTCCTGCTGCACAGCAACGTGCTATTCGCTCCCGGCGGTCTTGCTATTCCCTCGAGGCCTCCAGGTCGGCTTTTCTCTCTTTATTTACTGCAGACCTTAGGATTGCAATGATCCTTATCAATGTGATGATACGCCGTCTCATTGTTCTGATGCCTGCGCATCAACCCACTCAGCTGTCGTGATGGCAAACCTGCTTCAAGCGCCCTTCACAACCTTTTCTGCTCGACATGGGCAATGTGGCTTCCTTGTCTTTGACCTATTACTAGGAAGTGACAATGGCTCGAACATCCGCAGGTTTTGCGACAATACTACGAACTTGCGCAGAAGATTCTTGCAGTTTGACCGCACGCAAGTGTCAAGAGTTGCAGTGCCTCTGGCTGGATCTGCCTCATCAGTTGTCTCAGAAACAACTGTTCGTGACTCTCGAGGGCTCGCCATCGAGCGTGCTCGCTCAATGGGACTCTTTCACGATCAGTCGCAGCACTGCCATTGGCTGGATCCTGTGACAAAAATCATGGGCGGCAGTGAAGGCAAACCCTGCCGCGACAGAGATCGATTCTGCACACGGCAGATCAAAAAACAAAACCTTGAACATGGGAAGGAGGTCCACATCTCCAACGGGCCCCCCATGTCTCTGCTTCGTGTAATAGCTTTGCTTCTCGCCTAACACTTCCCTTACAATCCTCAAAATAGGCTCGCCAAGGCAAATGCATCACGAAACACGGATTTCTGAAGCAAAACTGCTTGCAAGGTTGCCGTCAAGACGCCGCAGCTCGGCAGCGCATCGCCTATCAGAATGCCTAAAACTTCGCAAGCCAGGACCGTCTACACGGAAATCACGCCAAGCTCGCAAATCACGCCGGCGGCTCCCTCCGCCTCTGCCGGCGGCTTCTCGCCCATCTCCGCAGCAATCTCTGCGGCGCGCTCCTCGCGCTGCTCCTTGGAGACGACCCAGTAGCAGCCGCCCCTCCACCACCAAGCAATGAAGCCGGCGACGACACCCACGGCCAGCAGCGTGACGACGATGCCGCCAGCAATGCTAGCTCCATACAGCAAAGAGATGCCCAGGGTCACACTAGGCAAAGCCACAAACATCACCAAGATGTAAACCAGGGGCACCAGGCGCCAGTAGGAGGCATAGAAGCCCAGCAGGCAGGCGCCCTTCACGGGGATTCGGCGCATGAACTGTACTGGAAACCAAATCAGGATGCCTGGGTTGTAGTTTTACCCTGAAAAGCATTTATCAATGGGTACGGATTGTAGTTTTACCCTGAAAAGCATTTATCAATGGGTACCTCTATAGAAACCACAAGGGAAAATCTTTACACCTTCCCAAATTGCCACCTAGATGCCAATAATATTGAAGAGGAGATGCACGAAGGCGATTTGCAAGCTGTCCGGCTTCATGACCGCGATGGCGGCCAACATGGAGGTAAATGTGGTACCTATGTTGGCCCCAAGGGTCATCGGGAACATTTTGTTCACGGGCAGCACACCAACCCCGCAGAGCGGAGTCAGGGTGGAAGTCGTCACAGAGCTGGACTGCACGATAAACGTGATGCCGAGGCCGACCAACATTGCCACATAGTCGTTCATGTTCGTGGCACGCATGATCACCTTCTTTGCCGTGCCCATGATGAGATTGTGCAGGAGCCTCACCAAGCAGAACAGGGTAGCGGTCACGATGATCAGCGAAAAGATCAACCCCACGATGCCGCCGGCAACATCACCCATGCCGGAAAAGGCACCTCCGTCCAAGATAGTACCACCCTCGATGGACTGTGCATAGAACTTGTCGGCCTGCAAGTAGCACGTGTCCGAGCCGCAACCATGATTCAAGAGCGGGAAGTAGGTGCTGCACTCTGCCAGTGCGCCATAGGCATCCTTGTCGACCTTCTTCCAGTTCTTGCTCATGGACGAGGAGACGCAGAAATAGTTGCTGCAGTCCATGGTGCTTGGGCAGCCCGTCAGGCCAGTTGGCATGGCATGGGCCTTGGGCGCACCCAAAGAAAGCGACTTCGTCACATCCTTGTTCGGGTCCACGAAAAGGTCCGTGAAAGGGGAAACGATGAATTTTGTCGGAGACGTAAATGTGACATCTGTCTCCGGTCCCACTACAGCCTCCGTGATGCCTTTCGACATGTAATACAAGAGCCCACCATCCCCGGCAATGGCGCCGACGATGATCTCCTCCGGCAGCAAGACGAGGACGCTGAGGAAGTTGAACATGTCATGAACCTACATCAACGAACCTATAGGTGGGTAGGTGCAGGCCTATCCCGCCCCCTTGCAACTGGTAACCGCTTAGTCCTGCTCTTCAGCGTCACATCGGACAACCCAATTTCAAACGGAAGAAAGCTACTGCTGGATGACCCAGGAGCTGTAGCACCCGAAACGGCACGCTCAAGCTCAAGACGTTCACCGGCAAACGCCATGGACACAATAGTGTTCGTCACGGACGTGCCGATGTTGGCACCCATGATGATAGGAATGGCATACTGCACGCTTACCTGGCCGGCACCAACCAAGCCCACCACGATCGAGGTGCTCGTGGAGGAAGACTGAACCAGGACCGTCGCCAAGATGCCCACCATCAAACCGGTAATGGGATTGTCCACGATCGTAAACAGATCACCCGCGCCCTTGCCTCCCAGCACAAGGAAGGAGCTGCCCATCATGTCCAATCCCATTAAGAAGAAGTAGATCGAGGCAAGCACACCGATGATCTTCAAGGAGGTGACGAGGATTGCCTGCCCCTGGTCCATCGGCTTCACGGCCGCATCGGCCATGGCGATCGGAGCTCTGGATGATCCCGGATGGCGAGGAAACAAGGCTTGTGAAAACAAAGGCCTGGCTCCGTCAGGCCCTAGCCCTCGTCAAAGAAAGAGGGATGGGGCAACACGCGCACGTGCACGCACGTGCACGCACGCACACGACGGCTGCTTAACCCTGTCTCTTTCGCACAACTTGCAATTCAGCCTTCCCGCACCGAGCTCAGCAGCTGCAGCCCAAAATGGGTTTGAGAACAGTGCTTATTCAACAAGTCTGCCGGATCGACCAAGCTCGCGACTGTAGCATTCTCAGACAGCCAGACAGCAATGCCACTCAGCTGTCGCATAATGGTGGTGATGATGATGAGGAGCAGGAGCAGAATGAGGATGAAGATGAGGCTTAGGATTATGTTGATGAAGAGGATGAAGATGCTGAACATGATGATGACCACGACGATGATCAGAACGACGATGAGGATGAAGGTGAGACTAATGATGATGATGACGACGATGATGATGATGGTGAGGGTGATGATGGTGACGGTGATGGTCATGATCATGTTCATGACCATGGTGATGAACATGCAGATCGTGATGATCATGACGATGATGATGATGATGATGACGATCGTGATGGAAACGATGATGATGATGATGGTCATGATGATAGTGATGACCATGATGATGATCATGATGGTGGTGACGAGGATGATGACGATGATGGTGATGATGATGATGATGATGACGATGACGATGATGACTATGATGATGATGATGGTGATGATGATGATGATCATGGTGATGACGATGATGATGATGATCATCATCATCATGACCATGGCCACGATGATGATCAAAATGGACATGATCATGGTGATGGTGATGATGATGATGATGATGAAGAAGAAAATGATGATGATCGTGATGCTCGTGATTGTCGTGATGATCATGGCGACAAAGAACATGATGATCATGATATTAACGGTGATGTCGCTGTTGATGATGGTGATGATGGTGATGGTCATGATGATAGTGATGACCATGATGATGATCATGATGGTGATGATGATGATGGTGGTGCTGCTGCTGATGATGATGACGATTATGAGGATGACGATGAGGAGGAGGAGGAGGAGGAGGCGGAGGCTGACTACCTTGCTCTCCTCAGACATGCTTGGGTGCAATTTGCAGAATCATACGGACTGCTCCGCCCCCCGTGAGAAGAAGCCCGAGTCCGAGGCCTGTTAAGGCATCATACTCTGCGGCAGCTATTTCAAAGTCCTGCGCATGGACGGACGGCTATCGTCTCGGCATGACTCATCCGTGCAGGATGCTGATGAAAGCCTTTGTACATCTCGCTGCTACAACGTTGGTAAGTTTCCAACCGTAAACATTGCAAGCAGATGCAGTACGCGGCCTCGCCTGGTCTTCCTTCCTTTGCAGTTTAGATTTATGTGCTGCCCCAGGCCTCTGTGTTGCATTCCGTCTTCGGCTCCTGACCCACTGCATACCTGACCGGAACAACAGTGGCTGGCTCGACAACAACCCAGGCCTCCCCTGTTCATCCTGCCAGAAGAATGCCATGAAGCCAATCCTTCTTCGAGTTCATTCGTTTGGGAGACTGGGGTTTTACACAGAAACCTGGTGCGAGCACCTGAGTACCCCCCCCACTTACGCTAGACTTTCTGCCCCTGGAACCGCGGTTTTCAACTCCCCGCCGAAGCACGACACCGCAGGTGGCCAGCAGCCGGCTGTGTAATACACGGTGTAAGACAGACCTGCGGCGCGGCGCACCACGACTTGCAGGTTCCCATTCTTGGCTGGAGCAACACCCTTCAACCGGTCCGGCAAACGGTAAGGTCTCGGCCCATTTCGTTAATGATCTCCGCACCTTCCAGGGGTCGCAGGTGTCAGCGGTTGCCGGGTCGATGGGTCGATCAAGCTTCTGCAGATTGTGACCAAGCAGGACAAATCACCGGGGCAAGCCCTGCAGCTGCAGCCTATATTCGTCACTTTCGTCGCATAGTCGAGGCGGCAGATCGCTGAGAAGCAAACCTTACTTCTCAAAGCTAAGACCAGCAACCTGGGCCGTAGCCACAGGGGGAAGCGTCCACTGCCGTGGATGATAACGGCCATGCCACTTGCACTTCTTGCCAGGCTCCCTGGGAAACACTGCCTCTGTTGCAAAGTCTAGCCAAGCCTGTACCACTGGACCTGCTTGAGCGCTGAACTCTGAGAACAGAAACCCAAAAGACGAGATCCCAAGATCCAGGGCCTTCATGCCCCTTCATGATTTTCTCTAGCAGGCTTGGCAGAACTCTTCGACCCCCCAGGCTTCTGTCGGGTCTCTGCAGGCAAGCTGCAACGAAGACAGGCATGAGCCCACACATGCAGAGCGGGCATGTGTTCCATATCGTGTATGGCAATTCCTGTCGGCTGCAGGGCTTTGCTCGGTCCATGGGTACTACCACACCACGGCAATCGACAACGCGAAAATCTGCACCCTTTGACTCTTGCTTCTGTTTAAGCTGAATGAAGCCTATACATAGCTTAGCCTCACATCCATGCATGACGCTTTGCCGCTTTGACGGCTTCGTACCAGACGTGGATTGAGGCGACATAGCTCGCAGGGGCAGTCCCCCGGAGTGAAAGCATGATTTTGCGGTGCACTTGCCACCAAACCCCGGCGTAGATGCAACCGCTGTCCTGGCAGAAAGTTGAGCACGAGTATGCATTCCTGGCAACCAATGTGCAGCATAATTACTCCAAACAGCTCAAGGATACAAACAGCACTGCTTTCACACAGCACGTCATCGCAGCTGCTCCATGCACAACTCCTCCTGATAGGGGACCCTTTGCGAAGGCTATGTTGAAGTCATCTCTGAATACCACGAACCCATGGGCAACAACTTACACCGGGCGGCAATATCTTGGCAGAATTGGCTTCGAGGATCATGAATTAGACATGAAACGACGAGACTGTGCGGATCCCCAGCTTTCCAGCGGACACCTACAAGTTCTCGCACTCCAGAAGATCCGTTCGAACATCCTCTCCAAGTGTGCCAAGTGGCTCGTCCAGTTTCGCTCGCAGCCGCCGCCTGGCCTCCGACAGCATCCGAAGGAAAGAGCAAAGAGAAGGCCGAGTCTGGCTGTTCTCTGTGACTTCGGTGATTCTGGTGGATCAGAGCCTGTGCTAGACTCCCACCTTCGAGGATTCTCGGCTCATCGTCCTCCCAGCCTCCGGGTGCATCCTGCCCCAAAACGGCAGCTGCTGCTTCCGCCGGGCCGATGGCGTCAGTGGAAGCTGTTGACTGTGTGAAACTGGGCTGGACTGGGCACATTGCCTGTCTTCGGACTGCAGACCGAAGTATTTCATCAGGAGTGGTCTGGTTGTGGAGGGGAAAGAGTGCAACAAGAACTATCAGGCTGGCAGAACTCTTTCCACAAAGCCTAGGCTCTTGCTTGAAGCCAGAGAGCGCGGGAATGCGGGACCTCCTGACCGCGCCTCAGCTTCGGCGGAGGCACTTTTTGCCCTCTTGCTGGATGCACGCAGAGCTTTGCAAGGGCCCTGGGTGGAGCCCACTGTACATCAGAGCCCAGCGGCGATTGCTAGCTGACCCGGTTGATGCCCCGATAATTGGGACTTCTTCCGTGGATCCTAGTGCCATACAAAAGCTGGCATGCCGGCATATGCAGACATCTGCAGTCGCAGTTGCACGATGCTGGAAGCTTGAGGCAAGGAAGGATCGCGGCGCGAAGCATGAATTTTTCTGAACTTCCCCGTGATGCTTGAGCATCTAGATTGCTCTCTGTGGCAGGAGAAGGCCAGAGATGCTGCGAATCTTGTGAACACTACTCAAAGTACAACTGGAGATTCAGAAATTTTGCTCTGGCTCGAACTTGAGGTGCCTCTGAGCCAATGGTAACATGCCTGGGAGTCGTCGGATTTTTGACTGCAGGGCTTGCCAGAGACTCGAGCCATGACCGCTGGATCCGCGACAGTCGCAGAAATCTATGCGTCTGCACTCCGCTGATTTCTGGCTGACATAAATTTGGATCAGGTTTGGGTGTGCTGAGCTGCTGACGTGCACATTTTCATGTCTATAGCTACGCTCTTGGCTCTAGCCCGCCCAAACCTCGACTCTCAATGCGACGGGGCTCCAAGCGAAATCACGCTGTCGGCCGGTACCTTAGACATGCAGCGGTGGTGGGAGGCAGATAATACACACAAACACACATACAATCATGAATAACTATATATGTATATACATATGTATATGTATATGTCTAGGTATATGTAAATATGTATGTATGTATG